AGGAGTGGTGCTCGCCTTTAATCCCAGCACTCGGGAGGCAGAGGCAGGTGACTCTCTGTGAGTTTGAGGCCAGCCTGGTCTCCATAGCAAATACAGGTCAGCTGTGGCTACAGGGAGACCCTGTCTCAAAAAGACCAAAAAAAAAAAAAATCCAAAAAAAACCACTCAAATCCTCTTGCTTCTGCAGTAGCACTTTACTAAGCCATCTCCCCAGATTTACCATTTTAATCATTTCTTTTTTTAAAACATGTATTATTTTTATTTTATGTGTATGCATGTATTGCCTGCATGTATATAAGTGCACCATATTGTACAATGCTTGCAGAGGTCAGAAGAGGGTGTCATCTGAACTGGAACTGGAGTTACTGATAGTTGTTAGTCTCCATGTGAGTGCTGGAAATTGAACCCGGGTCCTCTGCAAGAGCAGCCAGTGCTCTTAACCTCTGAGCCATCTCTCTAGCCCTTTAACCATTTATTTTACAGTGCTGGGGATCCATACATGCCAAGCACATGCCCCTCCACTGAGCACACCCCAAGGTCCGCCATTTTAAACATTTTCAGCACACAATTGAGCGGCATTACATACAGTGTGTTATATAGCAATCTTGACTATTTCCATAATGTCACCTGGAACAAAACGCTGTCCTCATTGGGCAGATAATTCCTCATCTCCCATGCTAGTCTACTGTCTCTCTCTGAACTAGTCTATTCCAGATATATATGGAATCGCACAATATTTTTCTTTGTATATCTAACCTAGTTCACTTTTCACATTGCCTATGTACTGTAGAATGGGTGATAATATTCCATGGGCTGTCCACATCACGTTTTGTTTATTCATCCTGGATTCACATTGGGTTGTTTCCATGTTTGAATATTGTGAATGATAGCATGTGAACATTCACATACAAGTGTCTGAGTCCCTGTTTTCAGTTCTTTGGAGTATAGACATAGAAGTGGATTTGTTGGGCCAAATGGGAACTCTATGCTTAATATTTAAGGAACTACCAAACTGACTTTCATAGCTGCACCATTTTACCTTACCACCAGTGTTAGTCAGACTTTTTGTCACGGACAAAAACCCAAGAAAAGACATTTAAAGGGATTTATTTTGGCTCATACTTTCAGAGGTTCCAGCCTATGATTGGCTGGCTCTATTGCTTTTAGAGCCAAGGCAGAGCAGAACCATCAAGGCACAAGGGCCTGAGAAAAGAAAGCTATTCATGTCATGGTAGCCAGGAAACAAAGAGGAATAAAAAGGGGCCAGGGCCAAGATCTAAGCTTCAGGGACCTGCCCCAGTGACCTGCTTCCTCCATCTAGATCCCACCTTCTATAGCTCCACCACCTCCCAAGAGTCTATTCAAGTTCTGACCACATCACTAGATTAAATCACTGATTAGACAGCAACCCTCATGACCCATTGTTTCTGGAAACACCATCACAGACACACCCACATGTGCCTTCCTAATCTCCTAGGTATTTCTCAATCCAATTAAACTGACAGTTAAGATCAAGATTAATCATCAGGGCAGGGCCTGGTGATGCACACCTGTGATTCCTGTACTTAGGAGGCAGAGGCAGGATTCTGAATTTAAGGGAGTCTAGCCTAGACTACATGGTGAGCTGTGATTAACCATCACAATCAGCTATGTAAGTCTCCATGTCCTCAATATATTGTTTTGGTTAATTGTAACACCCAAATTGATGTAATATATAATTTCTTTATAGTTTTGATTTGCATTTTCCTAATGACTAAGAATGTTGAACGTTTTGTTATTGTCTTTTTTTGAGACAGGGTCTCCCTATAGTCCCAACTGGTCTGGTGGTACTCACTATGTAGACCAGGCTGGCCTTAAACTCACAGATCCACCTGCATCTGTCTCCCAAGTGCTGGGATTAAAGACGTGCACCCCACGCCTAGTGGAATGTTGAACATCTTCTCCTGATCATTTGTATATCTTCTTTGGGGTAATATCTAATCAAATCCTGTGCCAGTGATTTGGAAATATCATCTCCCTTTGTGGAGAAACTATTTGTAAATATTCTTCCCTACCTCCCTCCTACTTCATCATCTGTGGCTAAAATTACAAATATGAACATCCATGTTTAACTACTCTCTTATTAAATGATAAAAATGTTCTAAAATTGCCAGGTGTGGTAGCACAAGCCTTTAGTCCCAGCACTTGGGAGGCAGAGGCAGGCGGATCTCTGTGAGTTCAAGGCCAGCCTGGTCTCTATAGCGAATCCAGGTCAGCTGGGGCTACAGGGAAACCCTGTCTCAAAAAAAAAAAAAAAAGTTTTAAAATTAGGTGGTGATGCTTACACATCTATTATATATAAAATCCACTGAATTTGTCAGAAGTGGTGGTGTCCACCTTTAATTCATTCACTCAGGAGGCAGAAGCAGGTGGATCTCTGTGAGATCCAGGACAGTCTGGTCTACATAGCAAGTTTCAGGCCAGCGGGAGCTACATAGTGAGACTCTGTCTCAAAAAAAAAAAAAAAAAAAAC